CATTCATTTGCTCATCCACGTGACAAACAATACGAAGCACCCTACGATAGCTACATAGCCTCAGGGGATCATATGGCAAGTCCATTTGACTATCTTCTTTCTTCATATAGGATGTTTACTTTGATTTATGCACCTACTAAGGGACTTGGATATTGTCTCTTTGCTCTCAACCAAACTTACCTTCTTCTCCTATCCTGATTTGCTAGCACGCTCCACCAGTAGGATGCTATAAGATAAAAAATGATGGGTGCGTCAGTGGTCATTTTACTTGTGGTAAAATATCATCCGAGATCACTTCAGAGGACACATTCATATATTCTTCTCATCCTACGGTGTTTATCTTGCACTTGAGATAGGGCTTCAGGCCATTCTTGATGGGAACTTTCTTATGCATCGACTTTGTCTTTTGAGTTTATGGATAGATGAGGATTCTTCTTTACAAATTTATTGCATCACACTTGGAGAAAGTTTGGGGTCTATACAGACTATCTTTAGACAGATCATTGACCTAGTCTCCCTCGATCATGACACTATTTTCCATATTTATCATGAGCAAAATCAGGTAGCTAACTCATTAACTATAGAGGAATAGGAGCGACATTGATATAATGACAGATTGTCATGACACAATTTGGGCAGGGCATCCTGGAGAGGAACGCACTTGTGCATTACTGCAACATGATACTACTGGCCTCAAATGTGGGACGATATTGCAATTTATGTAAAAATCTGTCTTATTCGTCAGTAAGATAAGACAGATCATCAAAACAAGGCGGGCTAGCTGGAGCCCCTTTCTGTCCCAACCCGACCATTCGAAAGTATATCGATGGACTACATTATTGGACTGCCAAAAGTGGAGGATTTTAGCACTATCATTGTCATAGTGGACCGTCTATCAAAATATACAACTTTCATTGCAGCACCTAAGTATGTATCTACGGAAGAGACAGCTCAACTCTTCTTCAGATATATTGTCAAATACTGGGGGCTGCCTAAGGACATCGTCAGTGATCGAGATCCTTGTTTCACTGGCGTATTTTGGACTAAGTTGTCCAAACTTCTTGGTTCAACTTTGAGCATGAGTTCTAGTTTTCACCCACAATCTGACGGACAGACGGAGCGCTCAATTCTATGCTAGAAGAATATTTTCGGTACTTTATCTCTACTTCACAGAAAAATTGGGTAAAACTTTTGGATGCGGCCCAAATTTGCTTCAATGCCCAAAAGAGCTCTTCTTCCAATAAGAGTCCTTTTGAAATTGTCACTGGCCAGCAACCACTACTCCCTCATACAGTGGATATCGAATGAAGTACCAAGTCCCCTCAAGTAAAGAAAGTTTCTCAAAAGTGGAAACGAAATATTGAAATTGCTCGGAGTTATCTTGAGAAAGCTCAAAAACGGTATGAAAAAGCTGCAGATCTAAAGCGTCGTTTCATTGAATTCAATGTTGGAGATCTGGTAATGGTTAAACTTCCCGACAGAAATGTTTACAAACCAACAAGAGGGAAGGACTCAAGATTGTCGCCAAAATACATTGGACCATTACCCATCGTGAAGAGGATTGGAAGAGTTGCATACAGAGTTGAACTCCCTTCATGGTGTAAAATCCACAAGGTCCTTCATGTTAGTGTGTTGAAGCCATACTTTGCGGATAAGGAGGACGCATCTAGAAAATGAGCCAAAGCGACCTGTGTTTAAACTGAAGAAAGCTGGAAAGGAGGTTGCTGAAGCTATTCTTGACCATCGAATCACTCAAGCTTCTAGAAAAGATCATCAGGAGTATTTGGTCAAATGGATGGGATGCAGCAACGAGGAGAATACTTGAGAAAGAGAAAAAGATCTCGGAGCCTTCAAACCATTAATTGAAGCATATCATGCATTGATGGCACCAAGGACGTCGTCAAAACAAATGGGGGAGAATGTCAAGGACTGCAGCTTTACTTAGCCCCTTGACACTATCGCAGTCGCAGTTTACCCAACTTCGGTCACACATTTTAAATATTACTTCAAGTTTGAGTTGTAATTTTCTTTTCATTGTAATAATTATTTCAGTTGTAAAATAGCTCTGATATTGGTAAACATTTAGTATGATTCCTCGTCTTTTAAACGTCTACTCCTGTCACTTAGATTTTTGTTCAGAATGCTATTATAAGGGGTATTAGTCATTCAAAAATTTTTCAAACTCACTGGTGTCCGTCCCCTGCACTAGCAATTATAATTTTCTGCTTTCATCAATATTAATATTCAGTTTTCATCAATCAATGTTCAATTTATATTCAATGTATTCAAATTCTCTATTGTAAGCTTTCTACAAAATTGTAATCAAATTTTTTTTCGTCCCGATGCGATCGAGAAAAGGCAGAAGGTAGTCTAGCGGAGCAGACTATTGCTGCACGGTGTCCCTTTTCTATGCCAAGAAGAAAGGCACCTTTTGAAACATAGGCTTTCCATGTTTACAAGCCTTTATACATTTTTTGTTTAACTTTCACATTTGCGAGGAGAAAATATTTCATCATTTACTGCTTTTAGCTCTTATTTCTTGATTGGAGGTGTAACACCTCGAATTTTAATTATATAAGCTAAACTTAATAATGATCATCTGGCAACTGAAATAGTCCTTGTTGTCACACTAAAGTTCAAAAGTTAAAGTGACAAACTCGACCTACTTATTTGTATAAATAATTTATTTATTTACATATACTTTTAAAATTTTATTGTAAGTTAGTTGGGTCGAATAGTTAAATATTTTAAAGTTTAATAAAAATATATCACTATTATACTCATTTTGTAGCTCGTGTTGAATAATATAAATTGGCTAAAGAACAAATAATTTTGAACTAATCATATTCAAGCTATTTTGATAGAAAAGAAAGTATTTAAAAACCTATATTTTATTATAAATATATGTATACATACATAAATATAAATGAATGAAAGAAAACTTCACTGCTGTATACTTTCCTAGGTATTTGAAAGCGTACTTCATTAACTAAATTATATGATATATAATTAATTATTATTTTTTTTGAATTCCACAACCAAATTGATGTGATCGATTGGAAATAAAATTTATATTAATTGACTAATTGATTTTCAAACTTAACTTTTTATAGATGTTTTACGTGTGTAGACACTGTGTGTGTGTATATATATATAAAATATGCGAGAATTTCGTTCCTTTACCATGCATATGATTTTCATACATTAGCGCATACACTTGTTGAAAAAGAGTGTTATTTTTTCTTCCAATCACATTCAAAATTTCATAAGTTGGTTTCTCACTCTCTTGTCAACATTCGGTCCATTTTTAATTATTGTCTCAAAAGAATATTTCAGAATTTTTGATATCATTTAAGATAAGAATATATAGTGCAAAGTAATAAATTCTTATTTCTTGATGTTGGTATTAATTTTGGCATGAAATACTATAAGACTTTCGGATCAATTTTTATGTTAAATTCTTTAAAATTGACCGTTCGGTCGAATATGTTAACTCATACGGGATGGACTATTTGGTCAAATATGTGAATCCTATAGAATATAGGAATTCGTATGAAATTCCTTGAGTTATTGGATTTCGCAACCAATTTGCTCTAAATCTAAGAAATGTTAGTATGCTATGTCATTTTGTATTTATATCATATTAATAATGATATACATGTATTTTTTTATTGACTGTTTTTCAAAATACTCACCCTTACAATAACATTTTAGATTAGAACGGGTCGTGTGATTCTCATGGGGTTGTCAAGTAAAATTTCTAGAAACGATAATTTTAAGAAATTAAGTCTCTTTTGAAGAACATATTATGTTATCTTTTATGCACGTTACTTAACATTTTTTATTTTTTTTTGTTTTTTTTTTGTGCCAGAACATTTGATATTTTATGATTTGAAATCATAGTATTTTTAAGATTTTATTTGATGTGTGAACTTTTCACTTAAAATGTTGGTTTACAATTATCGACTTACCAAACAAATTTCACATTTTGAAATAAAGTAGATTTTTGCTTAAATTAGGAAAAGAGGATTTTTGAGAACACTTCAAGTCTATTTTATCTTTAAAAATAATAATAATAATAATGAAATAGACTTTTGGAGGAAGAAAAAACCCTAGTTATTGTAGCTAAGCATTGGATGCCAAATGGAAAAGTTTGAGTTATCAAAGTATTACGGCTAGCAAGTCACCAGATTGTCAACTTGATACACGAATGCTATGCCATTTGATTAACCCGAGAGAACTAGAGTGACATCCCCAGAGCAATAACATAATGATCACGAAACCTACAAGTATTAACAATGAATAGATTTCAATTATTTTGAATTTCTAGATTTATTAAGAAAATTTTCCAATAAATCAGTAACTTCGAATCCTGATAAAGAGGGAATTTCCTTCGTAAGCATATAACCACCCATTGGGATGAGGTGCGTGCTCCTTGTGGGGATCGATGTGACTTTACCTGAAATTTTCACAAACCATCAAGTCCTATTTGGATTAAATAAAAATCAGATTTTTATTAAATTTTAATAAAATTTGATGGAACGTGTAATTGAAGATTGTGGATAATATTAAGTTCATAATTTTAATCAATATTGATTTTGACTTAAATTTTAATTCAATTTTTAAGCCGAATTAAACATGGGCTAAAGAGGAACCAATTTTTGACTAAGCATAAAGTGACATTGGCTATTGTATGAGAGACAATTTTTCACGGTTGAAAATGTTGCAGATATCTTGGAAATATTGGAAATCTGTGTTTTGGGGATAATTTCCCAATATGGCTCCTGGGAGATGGTCAAAGGTTTTGAATTTTCTAGAGACGCCACAAATATTGTCTTTGGCAATTTCTTGAAGTCAACTACGTCATGAATTGTTGACTCTTCACTAAATCTAATTTATAAATTTATAAATAGTTTATAAAGATGAAGAATGATGAATTTCACGAAATATTTAGATGATAAATAAGTAACTTTGACCGAATTTATAGGCTGTATGATTCAATTCATTTTTCGTTTATATTCAATATATTTTTCACACTGATCAAACAAAATCAACCTGTTCCTTGTGCAACAATGAGCTCTATTACTTTTCATTTCTTGATTCTCTCTGTCTCGATCTTTCTGTCTTGCTATCAACCCTTCTCAAAATCCACCTCTGAAGTTACTGGAAACATGACAGATCGTTTTGCGTTGCTTTCCATCAAGGCTGGCATAGACTCTGATCCACTACAGTTGACGGCCTCTTGGAATGAATCGACACATTTTTGTAGTTGGATTGGCGTAACTTGCAGCCACAGGCACCAGAGAGTAGTCAAGCTAGATTTGCGTTCAAGCATGTTATCAGGATCACTGTCACCCTCAGTCGGTAACCTAAGTTTTCTTAGAGAATTCCAGCTCTACAACAACAGCTTCAGTGGCGAAATCCCTCAAGAGGTAGGCAGGTTATCAAGGCTGAAAATACTAAGCCTTGAAAACAATTCATTTTCTGGTGAAATCCCAAAAAATATATCGAGGTGCTTCAATCTGATAAAACTCGGTTTGGGTGGTAACAATCTGATTGGCACAATTCCGATGGAATTTCAGTTCCTATCGAATCTGGAACTATTTTTTGTTTATTTGAACAACTTGACTGGACAGTTACCACCTTATCTGGGCAATATTTCATCCCTCGTTTCGATTTCTGCAGGAGGAAATAATTTTGTTGGAAATATACCGGATACTCTTGGTCGTCTGAGGAATTTGGAGTATGTGGAGCTTGGCATCAACAACCTGTCTGGTACCTTCCCTTCATCTTTTTTCAACTTGTCATCATTGACTAACATTGATATGCCCCTAAATAAATTCCAAGGGAGCCTACCACCAGACATATTTACTACTCTTCCGAAGCTGCAAAAGCTAAACATTGCTAGAAATCAACTAACAGGAAATATTCCTCCCTCGGTATTGAATGCCACAGAGCTTATGTTGTTTGCTATAAATGTAAATGGCTTCACTGGGAAAGTACCGTCTTTTGGAAATATGCAGAAACTTGACTGGCTTGCACTTAATCAGAATGAGCTTGGATATGGGAAACCTGATGACTTGGATTTCATGTCATCATTGCTCAATTGTACTCACTTAAGCCTACTACATCTGAGTGAAAATAGGTTCCAAGGAGTTCTGCCAAGATTTATAGGCAATATTTCAGGGCTTAGGCGATTTACGATTGGGGGAAATCTGATATATGGGGATATTCCGACCGAGATCAGTGAACTTGTAAACTTAGAGACCATGTATTTGTGGTCAAACCAACTCAAGGGTAGTGTTCCTGATTCTGTTGGAAAGCTTCAACAGTTGAAAATATTATCCCTCCTGGAGAACAAATTATCAGGGGAAATTCCATCTTCTATTGGAAATTTAACCCTGTTGACAGAACTCTACCTTCAAGGAAATAATTTGCAGGGTATCATACCTTATACCCTGGGAAGAAGCAGTTCATTATTATCAGTTGATATTTCTCGAAACAATCTTAGTGGTTACATACCTGAAGAAATTTTTAGCCTCCCATCTTTATCAGAATTCTTAGACCTCTCAAGCAACAGTTTAGTGGGCTTCCTGCCTTCAAAAATCAGTGGTTTAGAACATCTAGTCCTGTTGAATCTTTCAAACAACATGTTGTCTGGTATTATCCCAGAGAGTTTCGGCAGCTTAATAAGCTTGAGGGAGCTTTACATGGCTAATAACTTCTTTCAAGGCAATCTTTTTCCTATGAGTTCGTTGAAAAGCTTGGAAATCATAGATATTTCTCACAACAACATCACGGGCAAAATTCCAAAATTCTTGGACAATTTTTCATTCTTAAGGAACTTGAACCTATCTTATAATGATTTGGAGGGTGAGGTACCAACCGAAGGAGTTTTCAGAAACTCAAGCCAAGTGTCAGTTGATGGAAACAGTAAGCTTTGTGGAGGAATTCCTGATTTACAGCTTCCATTATGCTCCATAAAAGAAACTTCAAAGAAATCAAGAATCTCTCGTTCGCTAATACTAGTAATATGTATATGTAGCTCGGTCTTGGTGCTAATACCGGTGACAATCTCTATAATTGTTTACAGCCAGAAGCACAAGAAAAAGGCATTGTTAGCAGATAGTCAGGGAAACGATGTTCTCCCAATGGTATCTTATAAAAGCCTTTACAAAGCAACAGATGGTTTCTCAACAGACCACCTAATTGGTTCTGGGAAGTTCAGTTCTGTCTATAAAGGAGCTCTTAATGAAAATGGATCAGTTGTTGCCATAAAAGTACTCCAACTTGAAGTTCGAGGAGCTTCCAGGAGTTTCGTAGCAGAGTGCGAGGCATTGAGAAGAATCAGGCACCGAAATCTGGTAAAAGTTTTAACTTCTTGTTCCAGTGTTGATTTCCAAGGAAAGGAATTTAAGGCCATTGTCTATGCATATATGGAGAATGGAAATTTAGAGAATTGGTTACACCAGGATCCTGAAATTGTTGATTCCAACCAATGGCAAAGGCATTTAACACTTGTAGAAAGATTGAACATTGCAATTGATGTGGCTTCTGCACTAGATTATATCCATCACCATTGTGGAACTCCATTGGTGCACTGTGACCTCAAACCGAGCAATATTCTTTTGGACAGGAACTTGGTTGCTCATGTAGGTGATTTTGGCCTGGCAAGGTTCATCCACGAGGACAACCGTGCTCTCTCTGAAGGATTTAAGGGTACTTTTGGATATGCTGCTCCAGGTATTGCATTTCTTTTATCTACACTTTTGCTTCTTTTCAATTAAATGTTGTACCACCAGAAAGACATCCTTTTTCACTTAGAAGAAAGTAATGTATGTATGCAGAGTACGGTATGGGCAGTGAGCCATCAACTTATGGCGATGTGTACAGCTATGGAATTCTCCTGCTCGAGTTATTTACAGGAAAACGTCCCACTGCTCATGATTTCTCTAGCGGCCTGAACCTGCATAACTTCTCCAAGATGGCCATTCCAGAGCGCATCATGGAAATTTGTGATCCTACACTTTTTTATGACGAAGAGGAGAGACTGAGCAAAAACCCTGAATATGAAATACCAAAGTACCTCATCTCAGTTATGAAGATTGGAATATCTTGGTCCATGGAAGTTCCAAGAGAACGAATGGACATCAGCAAAGTCATCGATGAACTCTACTCAGTCAGAAACGTCCTTCTGACAACTTAAATACCATACCTCCAAAATTTGGTCAAATTGCGCGTAAATTCTGAACATCATCTCTTTGTATAAAGTAGTCCCTTTAATGATTCATGCTTTGCCAACATTTGTTGAGTTTGATCAAATTGCTTATCTTCTCTAGGTTTCTAATGTCTATTACTATTATCAATTCTTATGTTTGCATTTTCAACTCCTTTTCGTACAAGGGTCGGTCATGCAACTATTTCCAGAGGAGTTGATATCAAATCAATCGACAACTGATTCTTAAAATAAATGCTATGAATATTTGCTAGTGGCAACTGTGGCTATTTTAGAAAGTTATATAACTCAGTTAAGGATCCCACATTTTCTAGTTTCCAGTTTTGAGAGAGAAGACAACCCATATATGAGTAACTTTCTTTTAAGCAAAAGCAAGACTTGTTCTCGTTTATATTTTGCCCTTGGCCAACTCTAAATTTATAGTTACTAATCAGTTAACGAATAACGCTATCTAATACCAGTGATACTAGAACACCAGTTTATATGACATTATGTGATAGATTTAATTAAAAGTAAAATTATATTATTTATTTAATTGTACATTTCATTTAATGAACACTTAACGCTACCTAGACTTGTGTTTTAACATTAATAGTGCTAAATATAGATGACAGGCGAGGGCCACTCTTAGTTGTGATTTTATCATTCATTCATATAGTGGACGGTGCTGCATGCTGGATCGTTTACTATTCCAAGTTTTCCCCAAAAGTTTGCATTATTCTTAGTTCAGTGGTATGGCATTCAGGACTAAAAGTTGTCAGGTGTGTTGGGTTTATGACCCACATTAGGAAAAAAAAAAAAAAATTGTTTCCTTGTTTTTACATAGAAAATATTGTTCCCTTATTGTTACGTGATTTTATTGAAAATATATTATTTTCTTACTTCACATTATTTTCATTTTTATGGTATGATATGTACTTATAAATAGTTGTATCTTCTTCCATTATAGTTCAAGCCAAAATTGATGTTTTTTAATTTTCTTTCCATATCGTCGTTATAATAAAATATCGTTTCATTTGCTTAATTCTCTTTAATTTCTTTACTTTAAGCCCCCGTTTGGCCTCCTTTAAAATTCATCAATTTAATTTAAAATTTTCTCTCCCCTATTTTCAACCACACAATCTTCAATAAAATATTATTACACGTAAATCGAAAACTTTTCGTTCTTTTACAACCATTCATTTATAAAAAAAAACACTATTCCTCTCATTATAAATCCAAATAATGGAGCCAAACGGGGGCTTAAAATCTTGTTTCATCCTTGTGATCTTATTACATATTTCATACAACGTCATTAATCTCAATTCTTGCGTTGCCTTTGGGATCAACAAGGTGGAATATTAGTAATCCGTTGCACACATTAAATGGAGATTAGGCAAATAGATGATGACAAATGAATCTTGGTGTCAAATGATAAAATAAAATATTCCAAACTTTAATTTCAATAAGTGGCGGATCCAAGAATGTTGGTGAGCTAGGGTGTTGACCATTGAACATTGATCGTGGATAGTCAATGGCCACAATCGCTAAGTCGTTTATTAATATTTAATTAAATAATATTAATTTTTTTTTCCAATCTATGTGTCAATGCACTCAAATGTAAAAATCATATATACATGAAAATATAATTCAATAAAACCCAAAATAATAAGAAAAATACATGATACAACCCTACTTCGTAACTTTAAAATCAGACAACTGCATTCTTTGCGGTCTCATATTTTGAAAGTGCTGCAAGATTGCCTCATTTTCAATATTTGCAAAAATCGCTTTTAAACCACCAAATTTTCATTCAACTAGTCATCTCTCATTTTGTTACGCAAGTCACTTTTGACTAGATTTGTGGCAAGGAATGCCCTTTTAACACTTGCAGTTGCCACAAGTAATATCAAAGTCAAGGTGATGAGACTACAAATAAATGGAAAAAAAAAGAAATTATTTATCAAATTTTGATCTACACAAGATATGTTATTGAGGTTAAAGAAAGCTTCATTCACTCTCACGGGCATAAAAAACTTGTCAAGTTGAGGTCTAAGTAATTGAGCTCTTCACTAAAGAAGTCCAAATGATAGAGTTGAGCAAGACGTAGCAAATTAGCCCTATCAAAAGTTGCAAATGAAACTCTAGGACTTAAACATGGAATGCAAGATCAAAGCTCAATAGTTGACTCTGGAAAACGATCGTTCAACTCTTGCAAGATTGAGTCTATCATATGGCAATACATATTAACATAAAAGAGATGATAATAAGTCACTTGTTGAGCTCTACGCCTAGGTCAGCCTTTCAATACAATAATATCCTCCATATTTTGGCACTACAATATGTCTACCAACACAAAATTCAACCTCCCCACTCTATGTTGCTCGGACTCAAGTAGGATACGAGGATATGATTAAAAGAAGTCCAAATTTCAAACATGGGTATGTGGGCGTGTCTTCGAAATTTCAATTTTCCCCCCAAAAAATCAAATGTAAAAAGTTAAACAATAATTAGTTGCAAATTGTAAAAAGAGAAATATGTCAAGTGTTATTTGATTACTTCTATTTTTTCAAGTTTTGAAAAAACATATATATTAATTTCAGAAAATGCTATTAAATTGTTCAAAAACATTTATTTATGTTAATTTTATAATTATTTGTCAATCATTTTGGCCAAAGAAAAATCACATTTTTAATTTTTTAAAAATTTTGTAACAACACTTACCATGATATTTTTTTAAATTAAAATGATCTTATCTAGAAAAAAAAAAGAAAAAAAAACATATTTAAGAAATAATAAACCTCATGTAATTTGCTCAACCAATAAAACTATAAAATACAAAGAAAGAGATAACTAAACCCAACTAATAAAAGTGTAAAGTTGTAAATATACTTCAACCACAAATCCACACTGAGGGAAAAAAATAAAAAAATAAACCCAAACCCAAACCCAAACCCAAAAGGCCGAAAAATTAAAACAAGAAACAGGCCCAACTACAATTCCCTATGGATAACAAAAAAAAGGCCCAAAAGACCTAGAATCTAAAATGAAAAAAGGCCCAAGTCCAACTACCCCTTCTTCTTCCCTAAAATTGGCAACGAGACTTTGCAACTGACGGCAGAAGTTCAATAGTTTCCATCTGTTGCCACGTCGATTGAAATCTGCCGTGTCCACCCCATATTTCATACCCATACCCGTGTCATGTCGTGTCGACACGGGTACGCTGGCCAAAAAGAAAGGGTCCGAGCATCACAGTTCCCACTTAACAAATTATCTCAACCATTATCCATCATGTTCTGCAATACATACTTACACAAATCCAACAATGTCATAGCACTCTAAATATTCTGATCATTTTTATGTAAGACTTATGAAAAATCATCGGTAATTTCAAACATAAAGTGTAGATAAAACACAAACTTAAAATCTTGAATAGTGCTCATCTATCTTGTAGCCATTGTCTTTGCTCTAAATTGATGTCATCTCCTGATATATTTTCAAGAACATCTATAATAGCATTAAACTTATTAATAACAAGAGTAATTGTTAGTAGATGTGAGCCTCATTTAGTATCACCTGGTCGTGCCAAACTAATTTCTTCAAACCTACTATTGTCACCTCAAAGTTCTTCAATATTAAGCTTCGTCAGAAACTTTAAATAATAACTTGCTCGAAAAGCATTTACACACTTACATGATGCACCCGCAAAATTCACTATAATAACAAGCATGTTAAAAAAATCAATAATTCTACTTGTACAAAGTTCTCTTATAAAGTTGGTTGACAAAAGGTGTGTTGGCAAAATTCAGATCATTGATTTTAAATGATTTAAAAATCTGTTTTTGAAATGATTGGTCAACCTACTTTGTAAACCATGTTTGTAAATGTAGCATAACTCAAAAAAAATCACCAATCATATCATTCCTACGTGCCACATAAACAATTGCCAATTGAAGTTGGTGAGCAAAGCAATAAACATACATAACAGTGTATTCAACTGAATTTTCATCAAATTCGATTTCTCCTCCACTTTCAACAGTAAGCCAACTGTTTTTGTAAGATTTCACACACATTATTTGTATTTTGTGTGGGTGTGTGGGGCGGGGCAAGTTTGAATTAGTTGTACTTAAACTGAAGCAGTTTATATCGTGCAAGGACATTGATATATCCATCAAAATTTACTGATATTCAAGGACATTTTCACGGCCCTATAAGTCCTTGACGTGGACTTCCATGTATACGACTTAGTACCTAAGTAAAGATGAAGATTATTATGATTATGTTCAAGTCCAAGTTTTGCTTATGTAGTTGGTATGAAGTGGCTAGTCCTAGAATTTGCAAGGCATTATTTAATCTGAATTCCAACCAGTAATAATATCTGATCACTATATGTTTCCATTTAATGATGTTTTAAGGTGGAAGGCAAGTATTTTCGTTTATGGTTAATATTATGGAAATCTCGCGACTGAAGGAGATATTGAAAGCATCTTCAAAGCGCAAGTATCAGATTCTGAACCAACCACCAGTGGCACAGAGGTTTGATGAACGTTAGACGAGCTCACTGAAAGCTCTTGAGTTCATACAGCAGGATTCTTGTTCAATGCATATATTACCTTGATTCTATTTATTTACAGTGCAGAAACAGTGTTCAAAAAGTAATTTATGGTGTATCAAAGATTATGTAGATTATCAATTCTTAGAACTGCTAAATGAAACTAGCTTCATATTTACATCATTAAATTGCAACGAAGTTGTGGGAAAAGCGTTCGATCTGAGACTTCAAAATATAACCGATTGAAAAATTTGATCTTCCAGATGAGGTTGGACGAATAACTGTTGTTTCATCTTTCACTGCAAGATCTATTGCACCCATTTCTCTCTTCATCGATTTTATGAAGTTCATGTCTACATTATTACCTGAAATATCCCTGATGTAGAAAGCATTCACCGCCTTGTCCCGATGCGTCACTGCATCGGTTCTGACCACTGCTAGGCCGTTTTCCCTGAGAACACGTGTTATATCCGAGAGCAACCCCACTCTGTTGTACGCGCATAATTCTAAGCGGACACCCTGCTTGTTTAAATCCGAAAATTGAGAAGTATAGACCAAGATTTGCACAATTGTACAAAATAATGTAAGTACGGGAAAATTAATGTATCTGCATTCAGCTGACACCCTAACTACTATTAGACTCATTGTGCTACGGAAACAGAACATACCTCACAAACCCTGCGTACTATGGCGGCCTCCAAGCATTTAACAACTCTTTCCTTCTCACTTTCTGTGTTTAACACGCATCCATTGATGTGTCTTATAAAGTACTCCTATGAAAGCATATTGTTTTATGAAGAAACAAAGAGCAACCAATGTCATTTATTAGTAAAAGTTAACAGAATACCTGATGTGCACAACCAATCTATGGAAGCGTGAAAAATCACAAACTGCATATCTGTAAGTGTGCATACAGTATCGAACATAAGCTTTCTTCGGTCCTTGCATTGGATGGTAGCGATTGAATATCCTTTCTCATTACAACTCTCAATTGATACGCTTGCCTTTTTCCTCTCATCTTCATCACTATCTGATCCCATAGTTATTGAATTTGCAGTCAATGCCTGCGAAGGCCCATCAAAGTCCCGAACAGATAGCATAAGTTGGTTCAGGCGCCGTTCTACATTAGTCATTGTGCCTAACTTCTCCATAGGAATGACTGCAGGCTTCACTTCTTGCTGGCTAGCATTTTCGTCCCAGGTAGTGTTGGCTCTGAGGACAGTTGTGAGGTGATCTTCAATGGCATGGAGCCGGTGATCCTCAATTGGGGTTTCCATGGATTGATCTGAAATGTAAGCAACACATGCCAAGCGTGCATTGTGGCTCCAAGGGTGTGCTTCGACAATGTTGCAATGAAGATCAGCCAGGGCAGCTGATATCTCCGATAACAAACCGGGCCTGTCTTTTCCAGTCATTTCAATTGCTTTAGGCCTACCAGGATGAGACTCTAAGCTGTTTCTGGCCTTTGACTTCAGGGCAGTGTCCCTATTAGCACCAATAGCCTGCATAACTTTCCTTGGCATTACACAAGTTCTCGGACAACAGAAACTTGTAGCTATGTAAAAGCCAGTTGGAGTTGATAGTTAACTGTATTACTACAAAGTTGGTGCTCTTGTATCCATGAATCATGATGTATTTCTATTACTTATTCAAATGTTTTCACATTAAAATAATGTTAATTCTTGAAAGCCAAAGTTTTGATAAAGTAAGCTTTAACTAATTGTGCTATACATGTACGTGAACATACGGTTCATTAAAATGAAAATCAAGAATATTGGAAGAGGAGGTTTAGAAATAGTGATATTACCTGCTGGATACAGTTCATAATTCTTTGATCAGTAATTTTGCTGCCAAACTCATCTTTAAGGTGGAAAACTGTGAGATAATATATAAATAAATCAACTAAATTAATCTTAGTGATACAAACAATACGTATATAAATTTGCAAGAAATAATACTGAAGAGAAGCGGTGATGACTACCATCCATGTACCAGCCTGCATCAGACGATACATAGCTTTTCAATATAGTGAGGTTCATATCTGTCAACACTTGCACCACCTCCAGAAGGAGATCTTGTTTGTTTATGCTGTCAATCTGCAACATATATGCTATTACTGGTTAGATTATTCTCATTTCCTTTCTTAACTGGTTACATGAAGAGATCGACTACACTTAATTTACCTTAACAATAGTGCAATCTTCTAGGCTCTCATTGTCAATTGTAACTATGCAACTGCAAATGGAATAGAATATTTCCAAACATTCTTAGGCCATTTCAATCCTGTTATCGTTACAGAAACTAAAAGATGACCTCTGGCATAAAACTTACGCTGGGCCATTTATTCTCTCTGTAAGGCTATCAAAATCAGGATCATAATAAGGCCAACAAACTCTCTTCATGTTGCGAACTGCAAATAAATTTTATAAATTATTATATATTCTAAGGGACAAAGTTTATCATTTGTTACCTGTTGAGAATTATAGCACGTATCAATTGAGGATTCGCAAATATGGTTTTTCATCACAATGCAGATTAAATGACAGAAACTTAAAACAAGAAATTCGAAACAAAAAATTGAAGAGAGATTCAACATGCACGTGACATGAAATCTAACAATCAGTGGGATGATCATAAAAAGAAGAATTGAAAAGTAGATATCTTACTTAGGATTTAATTTGAGAGATTCTCAAGAATAGGAGAGCCATTGTTACAGTTGAAGGAAGAGGACGATGTTGATGTGCATAATGAAATGAAGATTAGGCAAGCCCATGATCATGACCAACAAGTAAATTCCTGGAGGAAAGAGAAGAATGAAGGTGTTTTCAATTCTTTCTGTTGAAGAAATAGTAAGATGAAAATATATATTAACAGAACGGCAGAAGATCTGTTCATAAAAATAGGGACTTTGAATGAGATTAGCATAAAATGGATGGTGAAGTTTAGTTGAATGTGAAAGGCAAATGGAATTTATGAGCCAAGATTAGATTGATCAAGTCACCTCTGTTTCACAAGTAAAACATTTATTGTTCACAAAATTCTCCTCAAATAATGGAAACCTTCTATGTTGAGATGATCTCGTTGCGTGTCAATAACATGTAAAAACAAATCGTTTGTACGTAAGTTTTGTTGTTCCGACATCTGTAAATTCTGACTACACGAAGTTTATATCTTTGACATCAATTCATATATTTGAGCTACCAATTCAACCATTTTAACATCTGATTCTGAATTTAAAAAATTAAAAAAATCAAATTCTGTAAAAATTTACTATCAATTACTGCCCTATTGTTGTTGATCTAGTTTGTATACGATCATAGCAAGGTGTCAATAACATGTAAAAACAAATCGTTTGTACGTAAGTTTTGTTGTTCCGACATCTGTAAATTCTGACTACACGAAGTTTATATCTTTGACATCAATTCATATTACATTTGAGCTACCAATTCAACCATTTTAACATCTGATTCTGAATTTAAAAAATTAAAAAATAATTAAAAAAATCAAATTCTGTAAAAATTTACTATCAATTACTGCCCTATTGTTGTTGATCTAGTTTGTATACGATCATAGCAAGAAAGTAGTCATGCCGACGTTGGATCGGCTAGGCATGTGCTTGGGAAATCCATTTATTGACCATAGTTCTTTGCCCAATTTTCTAACTCATGACAAGCAGCTAAAGAAACAGATAGTCATGGCAGTTGCAATTCCTTCATTCTCTCTGAGCTGTCACAAAAATGCAAGATTGTTATTACTGAGAATCATATTTCCAGAGAATGATCTCCTTACCAATCAAAGACCAGATTTGCTCCTTCACTTGATATAAAATCATAGTAGCATCACATGATATTATTGTTAATGATTCTAAATCACTCCATATATAGCTATCACACAATGATAGTCACCTTATGCACGCTGCTGTACAAAATTTAGCTTTTTATTGGAAAACAATGGCATTTGAAGGTAAATCAAACAAGATGTGTAATGACTCAGCCTCTATGTTCCAGCTGTTAGCTGACAATAGAATTCAACTTAAATCCCTCTACAAAGGAGGTCACGTGTTCGAATCCTGGAGATGCGATAAAAGTCCGTAAGGGCTCTCTCAGAGCAAACAGTATGTAAGCTAACAGCTTGACATAGACGTCAGGTCGTTACAAGATATATTCATGTCAATTGCTTGAAAAAGAAGTTGATTCACAGCATTTCGAGACGAAGAGTGTAATTGCTGAAATTACCTCCTCCAAGAGAGATGAGATGAGACCAATAAGGCCATATTGTGAAAATTTGTAAACTGGAGTATTTGATTCACAATTCATTATACATTAAGTAAATCCTTGATATTATACAAATGGATAAAATTCAATCCAAATACAAGAATTTCAAGAAACAGGGAGGACCTTCTTCACAATTTCCTCACTGAGAGCACTAATCTGCTAGTCAAGAGCCTTAATAGTGTCAGCCCTATGCTTATCCAAATTAGTCAATGCCTCCTTCAATTCTGCCTCCCCTTTCTTCCTTCCCTCAGCCAGCTTCTGCTCCACCTCAATCTGGGTCTCCTTCTTCATCTTGACAGGAAGAGCGGATTGTAGGAGTGGATGTGATTGCGGCTTTGGAGTTGAAGGAAGCCATGATCATGTTCGCCATTTCTCTATTTCTTTTTTCTTCTTCAGAATTTCCTCATAGGACACCAATGAAGAAGAGGCGAATCCTTGAAAGGCTATCTCAATCTATGCCACGAAATTGATGAGGTTGTAGTAAATTAAAGTTGTTTTGTTGCACTCATGCGCCTGCTGCTTGATTTTTTCCCTCTCTTTTCCATATTTTCCATCAGGACAAAAGATGGAGTGAGTAGGACAAGAGATTGAAGAGCCAAAAGAAAAGAAAAAACAAATAAGATAAAGAAGACTTGACGTGGAAAAGAAAAATCAGAATGACGACATCCAGCAAGGTTATTTGAAATCATCGCTATAATCCTTTAACCAGATTATCATACTGCAGCTAGCTAGCTTATAATCCCTACTGCATTAATTTGAGCTTGATCTCAGATCAACTACTAGGACTAGAATAAAATCAATTTCTTTTGACATGAGACAAATGTAATTCAGAGGAAAGCCAACAGGTAGATACTAGGCAAACTTTTCCCATATTAAGCCTCAATAACGGTAATTATTGAGCAAAAATGAATCAAATCTGTCTTTTGATTCTACAAGTCATAGGTCATGCTACAGGACAGTTTGCATTATGGATGTTGAGCTTTGACGTAAAATTTCTGACCAACGTTTATTCCTGGTGACTGGTTGAAGCAGTTTCAGATCGTGGAGATGCAACAATCCGCCGAGCTATTACCTTGCCTTCCAAATCTCTCTCTTGGAAGAATATTTATTACTGTAAAAAAACCCATTTATAGAACTGCCTACTAAACTCTGTGAAAATCTTGAGAAGCTAGTCATCTTCTTCACTGGCATTAGAGCTGGGCAATTTGTGAAAAGGGAACCACCCTCTTAACAAGTGAGTTAACTTGTAATCATAATTGGCAACGACGCCTTTATTGAACTCAACTCTGTTGTCTTGCTTGTTCTCTAGGATCTCTATATAATGACTCTGAACATTCTCTTGTCTATCCCTGTAGCCAATTTAACCACAAAATGACTTTAAAAAGACCAAATTAATCATAACATGTAACAATGATCAATAGCTTCAATAACCGTGTGTAAGCTAGGAAATCTATTTTCTCCTGGTTCCCATGTGCAGAATATTGATTGGAATGCAAGCTCAAGCAAATCTTAAAAGGTTTGAAAAGACAAAAATCCTCGTAGCATATTCAGTGTTCTTCTTATGAATCAGAAGGAAAGAAAAAAAATGAGGGTGTGATCATAATTTGATATAAAGAAATGAGAGATCCAAAGTAATAACTGGATGACCCTGAAAATTTGATGCAACATATATAATGTGCACTAGCAGTTTTTGTTTAACAACACAAAAGAATATGATTTTCATCCAGTTGACTCTGTCACAATGATGGAGATCAGAATGCCTCGTGATGGTGCAGAGTTTTGAGATAAAACTAACAATCACTACTACTTATGTAGCGAAAAGTCTTGAGTATAAGCAACTAACTTCTCGGGTTCATCATCTAAATCCGAGTCCTCTTTCTCTGATTGCGTTCTTGCCAAATTGTAGTTGATGGAATCATGGCGAATAAAGCGAAGCTGGAATTGCCAAAAACATGAGAACTAAGACATGAGACAAGATGTGCCACATAAATTTTCTTATGGACAAAATTTTCTATTGAACCAAAGTAATTCATATTTTCATAGTGATAATTAAACAAGGACTACATGGCTCTTATCTCTAAAAACCAATAAATGCCATTAATGCTTAAGAAGAGATCTTGGAACTGCTATTCCAAATGATTTCAATTGTCACTAAATTTCCAGACTTACTGCATTTGTCCACTATACATAACTGCTAATTGTATAATGAGGGAACACACAATTATTTTTCTTACCATCTGTCTAGTCAGAATTCATTTTTCACAGTAATTCGTAATACATTGTCAACTGTTGCTAAATTATTCAAATCATCATGAAGTTTATATCAAATAATCCATGGCATTTTTTAATAAAGAAGTTATTATAAACTAAATAGCTCCGATACTTGTAAACTTGTTACGTACCTGTATCCGATACGTGTCCAAGCTCCGATACTCCTCGATAACATACAATACGTACTGGATACTTGTTTTTAATTATTTTATATATTTTTATATTTTTTAAATTTTTGATAAATATCCGATACTTCATGGTTCACCTTCACCTTTACTACAAAACATTGCTTTAAAACTTTTTATGCAACCTTTATCTTCATCTAGTGCCGAAAGAAATTGAAGTACGTACTCTTTTGTGCACTCTACGAGACGAAATAAAATAAATGTACAACGAGCTGAAAAATAGGCTTTCATTCATAACAATTTGCGTCTTTTATTAAGAAAATTTGATCTCCATTCAAAATGAGAATTCAAAATGTTGGACATTGCCGGAGACTCATTTGATACTTTTTAAGGTGTTAGATTGCTTGAAGTTGCTAATTTATTATTAGATGAGCCAGAGTTGGAGAATGTTATTTTTAATAATAATGAAAAAATTGATGTTGATGATATTGAAGAAAATGAAGTTTAGACAATTAATTATTAAGATAAAGTGCTTTAGTATTTTATTTTATTTTTATCATCATGTTTCTATATTCATGTTTTTTATATTAATAAAATTATGTTGATGTATCCTAATTTTTTCAAATAAGTCATATTGACGTATCAGTATTATATTCAAATTACATATCTGTATCTGTGTAAACCAGTCACTCAAAAACCTTAGTCTTAATTCTGGTAGAAGCGTTGTCTTCAGTCAATTTTATTTTGTCCACATTGGTGTAGCTTTCCTCCTTAGCAGTCCAACAAAACTTGAACACGATAGCAGGGAGCAGTGATAGACATTTCTTATCCTGTTGAAAACTTCTATTTGAAAGCTTATCCCACTTTTTAAGCTTCACCCTGTTCTTATTCAGGCTCAGTCACAGGGATTCCCATCTGCTCCAATTTATCAAGGGTCTTACATAGTGGACCGACAAATGGTCAAATCTCCTGATGATTACCTTATTTAATACTCCTGTTCACTACTAATACTAATCCCATATTTTTCCTATCAGCTGCCATATGAGAAATAATGCACCCAAACAGCATGGTAAAGTACACCAGATATAAAAATTATATATGTTGAAATCCTGCAACTGTCCAATGACATATGGAAACATTTACTTCCACATTTACAGAAAATATTGATCCAGATCTAAAAGATGATGTAATAATGTTCTGTCAACAGAGAAAAATGAGTTGTCAGGACGATGACATGCCACTGTTCCCAAATTCTGTTAAGATTCTTGAAAGTTTCCAAGTATGCTAATTCTGGTACTTTATAAGAATGATTAAAAATCCACCTTGATTTCAGTGGTGTATCGTATTGCATTATATAGAGCTTTACAAGATAGTATAAATGGAATACAAATCAATAATTTACAATGAAATGGAAATCGTGTAAATTAGCCTCCTTCAATTACGTGATTGGCATTGGCATGCTATGGGAAGATTGTGATTGAAGAGTAATATCCTCAATCACAGTATTATTTCCAATACCCCCCGCAAGCTCAACGTCGGATTTGATCGGACATAGAGCTTGGAACGAAAGAGCTCAAATAGAGGTCGAGGAACACTCTTGGTAAAGATATCAGCAACTTGTAGATGAGATGGGACATATTGTGTACGAAGTTTTCCCGCGACAACAAGCTCACGAAGAAAGTGGTAGTCCAATTCAACATGCTTGGCCCGCTTGTGTGAAATCGGATTGGAGCTTAAAAAAATGGCACTTTTGTTGTCACATAAGAGAGTGGGCTGCTGAGGCATGGATACCTTGAGGTCATGCAGGAGATGTGTGAGCCAGATGAGTTCAGCGGCAATGGAGGCAAGGGCACGATACTCAGATTCACAGCTGGAACAAGAGACAGTCGGTTGTTTCTTGGCACTCTAGGAAACTAAATTGTCGTCGAGATAGATAGAATAACCAAAGATCGAATGACGAGTATCCGGGCAGCCGGCCCAATCAACATCAGAATAGGCTACAAGGGCACCAGGAGAAGTGGAAGGGCGAAAATGTAGGCCATAGTGAATGGTGCCTTTAACATAGCGGAGGATGCGTTTAACACCCAGAAAGTGATCATTAGTGGGAGCGTGTAAGAATTGACTGACAGAGTTGACAGCATGAGAAATGTCGGGCCTTGTGATAGTCAAGTACTGTAGTGCACCGATGAGGGATCTATAGAGAGTAGGGTCTGAAAACAGAGAACCATCAGCAGAAAGATATTGAGAAACAACCATGGGCGTGTGAACAGGTTTACTGTCAAGTAATTGAGCTCGAGTAAGAATGTCCAGTGCATATTTGAGCTGACTGATGAAGAGACCATTAGAAGTTGGAGTGGCTTCAAGACCAAGAAAATAGCTGAGAGAGCCTAAGTCTTTAGTGGGAAACTCAGAGTTAAGTGTACGAGTAAAGCGGGCAAGAAGTGAAGAATTGTTGCCTGTAATAATGATATCATCAACATAAAGAAGTAAATAGATAATATCGGACTTCTGATGAAAGACAAATAGAGATGTGTCCGCACGGCTGCAAGAAAACCCAAGGCGAATAATAAAGGAGCTGAAGCGCTGAATCCAAGCACGAGGTGCTTGTTTGAGACCATAAAGAGCTTTCTTCAACTGACAAACATGGTCTGGAAAGCAAGGATCAATATATCCTGGAGGTTGTTCCATATAAACTTGATCAGTAAGAGTACCATTGAGGAATGCATTTTTGACATCAAGTTGATGAAGGGGCCATTTTTGTGTAACAGCGAGAGAGAGTACAACCCGAACAGTAGTAGCCTTGATTACGGGACAAAGTATCAGTATAGTCAAGACCAGGGACCTGTGTATAACTTTTGGCAACAAGGCGGGCTTTAAGGCACTCAACAGATCCATCAAGTAAGTATTTGGTTCAGAATACCCATTTGGAGCCCACAATATTGGTGTTGGCAGGGCGAGGTACCAAAACCCAGGTGCGATTATTCTGTAATGCATGAATTTCTTCATTCATAGTAGTAAGCCAAACAGGATTTTTAACAACAGATTTGAAACCTTTGGGCTCAGTCGATGCAAAAAGAGCAGAAAGAAGACCAGAAGAGCCCAAGAAACTAAGATTGGCTGGATATCGAGTCTTGAAAATGCCAGCTTTAGCTATTGTAAGCATAGGATGAGTGGCCAACGGGACCACTGCAGTAGGTGTGGGATCTGCACCAGGTTCAAGAGGAGATGAACTTGGAATCGAGGTCTATAAAGAGGCACCTGCAAGAGAATGAGGATCCTGCAAAGACTCAATCACTGGATCAGCACACATAATACATGGATTAGAACTGGATTGAGTGAGTTGTGAAGAACGAGTGTCAGGGAGTGGGGGAGGTGGATCTGCATGGGTGAGGCTAGGTTCCAGAAAATTGGAAAAGTTAAGGGAGGATATGGGTTGAACTTGAGAGGTAGCAATGGAAGGAAAATTAGTTTCATCAAATTGAGCATGGCGAGTAATATAGAGCCTAGAGGTGGAAGGCTCGAGGCAATGAAACCCTTTGTGAGAGGGACTGTAGCCTAAGAAAATACATGGGATGCTGCGAGGAGAAAATTTGTGAGGCATATAATCTCGTAAGCAAGGATACACACGACAACCAAAAGGGTGAAAGTTTTCATAGTTCGGAGGGTTACCATACAAAATCTCAAAAGGTGATTTATCTCCAAGGAATGGTGTAGGCAAGTGGTTGATGATGTAAGCTACAGTGCTGAACGCGTCAACCCAAAAGCAAGGAGAAATGTGGGAGTGAAAAAGGAGTGCTAATCCCATCTCAGTTACATGGCGATGTTTTCTTTCAGCACGGCCATTTTGGGCAGGTGTGTATGGACATGAGAGCTAATGTTGAATGCCACTAGAGCAGAGATGATCTTGGAAGAAATTACTGATAAATTCACCGCCCCCGTCACTTCGAAAATTTTTAATTCGAGTGGAGTATTGATTTTCCACAAATTTTTGAAATTGAATAAAAACATTATAAAAGTCAGATTTCAATTTTAAAGGATAGAGCCACGTGAAACGAGAATAGTCATCGATAAAAATGACATAATAGACAAATCCTAAATTAGATTTGACTGGAGACGGACCCCAAATGTCGCAATGGATAAGATCAAGTGTATTCGATTACCTATGTTCATTTCGAGAATAAGGCAAGCGATGACTTTTAGCAATTTGACATATGCCACATAAAGTTGGAAAAGGCAACAAAGATGTAAGATAAAGTTGGCCTTTTTTATTCAATAGAGAAATAACAGAATGATTGACATGTCCAAGTCGTGCATGCCATAAATCATAGGGTGCACGAAGCGATTTATTTTTAAGAACAGAAATAAAAGTAGAATGACTTCGCTCAAGCACATATAAGCCTCCATCACGCTTTCCGGTTGCCACCACCCTTCCTGTTTTGCGATTCTGTACAATGAATATGTTATTAGTAAAGGTAACGGATAAAGAAAAATCTGATGTTAATTTATTGATGGAAAGTAAATTCTTGGTAAGGCGAGGTACAACTAGGACATCAAGAAGATGTAGATTTGGGGTAGGGAAAATTTTACCAGTAATTATAATGGATAGTGAGGCACCATTCCCAACAACCACACAATCCTTACCCATATAATTTGTGGCTTGATCCAATTTAGAGTGATCCATG